TCTCTATAAAAGCTGTGTACACAATATTCTGAAACATGGAGATGTGAAGGTCGTTTCTATTTGAGAGCATTGAAGAACCTCCTTCTCTCACCCTAAATCAATAAAAAATATTTAATTGTTGGCTGCAGCTGAACAATCTCAAACAACAGATTATATAAAATAAGCAGTATAACACTATCATAAACAAAGTCAGAAATCTGTGTGTCAAGAATGCCACAATGTCTTCTACATTGATGGATCCCCATCACTTCATATAGTTCAGCTGCAAGCAATTAAACAATTAAACAATTTAAAATCAGGTGTATGCTTAAGCACATTAAGTGGCCTTGACAAGCAAGATGCTCATTCTTTCCCAGAAAGAACTGAATAACTGTTTTGCTTATGTCAGACTAGAATAAAAAAAGTTAATACCTAAAATGTAATTTAAAAAAAAAAAGTATTTCTAATGGGCTAGACACTACGAGGGTCAGACACTACCAAAGTTGGAAAGTACTAAACACCAAGGTCTACTTTAAAAAACACACTAAAACTTAAAGTAGCTGAGTGGTAAGTCTTTTATTACTGTCTGCTAAGAATAGGACCTAAATGACAGATTGTTTCTTAACAGTCTATTTGAAAAACAAAATACAAGCAATTCATAGCTAAAAATGTCTGTGATTTGTTCAGGAACTACAAAGAGATGAATAACACAGAACAGGTTCAGGAGCCTAGAGACAAGATTTTGTTTTCTTCTGTTACTAATATTTAAAAACAAACCTACCTTAAAAATGGCCATACCATTTTTTCTTAAGAAAAAAACATGAGAGAGATCACCAGAAAGAAAACACAGACAGACCACCTCCTCACAACTTTTTCTTGAAAAATACTGGTTGTATGGTGATAGAACCATTTTCAACATCCAGAAGAGATGATGCACATCTGAATAACTGAAGTATGACAGCAATGATGACAGTCTAGCCTATGACCATAACAGCCCTGCATAAACACTACAACTTTTCAGTCCTACTAGAGAAGAAATTAGAACAATTTAACCCATCTTCCAGAGCCTTCTTAGGTAAGAAGAAAAAACTAGTAAAGGACAGTTTACATTTTTCCTAGGAGAGCACAGATTCAATCAAGTCATTGATCTTACCACGCTATTAGTGGTGCTCTACATCCTCCCTCCCTTCAATCTCCACACATTTTGAAGTTTATCCTGGTATTCTTTCAATGTATCCTAAATAACATTGTTCTAGTTTCTTTTTAAAACCAATTCAAACTGGAGCCATTGTAAAGGCATTTTTCGCAGAACAAAACCACCTCCAAAAGCTTCTTTTTATCACTATATTTTAATTTCAAGTTCACATTATCATCCTTCCCTACCTCCCTTACAGTCTTGCGTCAGAGTGACAACTCATACACACATAGAAGAGAAAAGGCAAAGTGCTTGGAATTCTCAAGAGCTTTTTCTGGTAAGCTCCAGTTGCTATAATTAGACAAGCCCTTTTCTAAATCGTAAATACAACTATCAATACTGATAAAAATGAAAACTACGATCAAATACATAGAAAAAGCCAATTTTAAATGTTCCATTTCCTCCCCATTATCTCAAAATGTGCCCTGATTTAACCCTCAGAACTCAAACACAATGGCTTTTTCCATGGTTGTCTTAGCATACAAGATACTTATGTAAAATAAACAACAAAATCAAATCATCTTGTTCATGTCACAAAACTAATATTATATAAAAATAGGGAATAAAGACAAAAAAAGGATTTTAGAAGCAAAGCAAATTCTGAATCACAAAATAATTAACCTGACACTTCTAAACAGTCTAATGTAATTTCAAGCACCAAAAAGGACTTAAATCCTACAAAAATTTAAAGTTCAACTACACATTGTAGAGACCTTACTTTCTCCACTTGCTGAGTTACGCTTGTAACATCAGACCAAAACAAAAGATGAACCACCAGTTCAGATCTCAACTGTTTCACCCTTCTTCATTTTTAAAATATGTTATAGTTCCAGATAACAAGCTCATAAAATAGTCCTAAAAGATCTAAGTACTAGAACATGAAGCTTCTTAGTTCCCCTAAAAATAGCTGCTGTCACATGGCTGTCATTAAGACATTAGCTTTTCGATGCTGGAATACCTCCTAAACCTTTTCCTCCCAAAAATTAGATTGTGCTTCAGTCTTACGTGAAATACAGCATGTAACTTCTCAGCAGCTTATATAAAAATACACATCCACAAACACAACCCCACTCGCAAAATCCCCACAAAACCACACAGTAGCACCTCAAAACTGCACTGCTGAAAAGCAAGAAAAAATTATTTGCTGCTCAACAGGAGTCTGTGATCACCGAACAGCTATTTGTTAGCCTTTTCTTAAAAATAACGGACTATATAAACAAATCTTATTTATTTCTGTAGAGAATAATTTAAAAAAAAAAAAAAAACAGAACCAAAACCAAACCAGAAATGTAGCTTAAGATGATGATCAGTTCTCAGGAGTAAATCTATACTTTACACCTTGTAAACACATAACTTCATACCATTCCATGACCAGTTTCAATACATTCAGATTGCACTCTTAATTGTAATAGAGCAAATCTGTAGATGCTTGGTAGAAACAAAAAAAATGCCTTTCCAAGACAACAAGCAACGGACCAGGCATAACGTTTTGTTTCACTGATGGGAAAAATAAATTAATACACACTGCTTCATATGGTACATTCAAAACCACAAGCACTTCCCATACAGCAGCTTTCAGAACTCCCTGGTGTAAAATCGGTGCTACTTTTCCTACTGTTCAAACAGAGAAGCTGAAAAAAAACTGCGCTGAAAACACTTCACCACTGAGTCATTTAGGGAGGTGGGGGGCAGAGTCCAGGATTTCTGGCTGCCAGCCTTCCTCTTCTGCCACTACTCAGCACATCTCCAACTTTAAAACCACATATAACCTCCTTCTAATCAACCATTTGCACTGTTTCCCCTTCTGGGGAGAGAGCTGTGAGAGGTCACAATTATATCAAAGCACAGGGTACCCTTACTACCTTCACTGCACCAGAGCACTGGAGGGTACATAACCTCTCTAAGAGCTTGATTTTGCCAACTCCCTGATGCCAACAGAAATGCCAGAGACCACCAGTTTCACCAGGACGGCTGGCCCTCCAAGGAGACAACTCATGTGAGTGTTTGCAGGATAAAGACATCATACATGTAGACACTGCAAACGGGGGGTACCAGCGACTGCTGGCTCTTATATTTCACCTCACAAACCCTCTTGAAAAAACTCCCACGGTAGAAGTCTGGACAGCAGAGCTGGGAGTAGAGAGAGGACTCGGGCAACTCAGCCCTGGAAATGGGAGGAACTGATCTTCTCTGAAGCTCAAGAGTACTGCTAAGGCACAGTTGGAGCATGAGAGTGGAAAAATAGCAGGAAAAATAGGGCAGCAAGAAACCTTATTCCAGCCTTTCCAAAACAGTGTATTATTTCCATCAGCAGCCTCGAAAGTTTATTGCAGAAATCTTCAGGTACTGTCAGAGCCTTGTAATGATGCATTTACCCATCAAACAACCACTGAGTATCGAATACAATGGGTCTCAAACCACTGTTACTCTGACCACCTAGATATGGTTAACTTGACTATTATTATTTACAGGATATCAGCTGGCTAGATCCACTGCAAACTACACAAAGTTCCTGCATAGAAAATACCCTTGGAGCCATCATATTTTCCCAGTCTTTCACAGCCTCTGTATGCCAGTGACAGTTTGAGAGGGAAGATTCTTCAGAAGCACTTTTAATTACTACTTCCTCCTTAGCTAGAATGCATTAATTATAGCCTGTTTCTCCAGATAATAAGAAAACAAAAAACAGTGCAATATGAACATTACAAGAAACTTAATTACTGAGTCAGATGTCCTTTAGATGTCAGTATGACTACAGTGAGGAGCAGGAAAATAAAACACACACATATCAGCCTCAAGTTGTTAGATCAGTTATCAAAACAATGTCTTTTCCTCAGCAATTTAATTTTGAAGAGCTCAACCAGATAATTAATCAAATACCTGTTATGTGTTTCAAAAACGTGCTTTTTAATAAAGGAGGCCTGATGATGTATTTATTACAAAGCAAATGTGGTAAATGGTTCTGCATGCAAATACAGAAGTGCAGCATGACTTTGAAGTTTGAAGGTCAGATACAGGAACCATTCTCATCAAGGTTCTTATGTCAGACTGCATCTTCTGGTTTACATCTGAGTTTAGGAGGAGGAAGAAAGAGAATTAAAAGGAAAAAAATAGAATCAACCAGTTCTGTGACAACTTAAGAACTGGCTATCGTTCACCTTCTTTCCTTTCAAGATCTGCAAATAGTCTAGCTCGCACAAAATGAAGAAAGAAAATGGAAAGGGTGCTGGGGAAACACACAGTTTCATTCTGATTTTCAACTGTTTTCTTCATCAGGAAAATCAATCTACTTAAGTCAGTAATGATTTTGTTTAAGAAGAGAATGTCATCTCCTCCACTTTCACAAGCATTTCAAACCCACATCACTTAAGAGAGCTGACGGATTTTCTTGTTGATCAACGTGTTTTATTTTAAAGAAGTACAGACTCAAAGGCAGAAGCAAATCAGAGGATTATGCATTGATCTTTTATCAGGCATCAGAGAATTTAACCCTTACCATTCTATATTCCCAGCAACTTTAGGAAACAAAACTCAACAGCTGGGCCTGAAGGCAAACAAATATGCCTCAAGTACCAGAGTCTGACCCAAGTCAAAAAAAAAGGAAAAAAATATGAAGTATGTTTTACATACATGCCTCAAAGACAAATAACCAATATGGATTTCTTTTTAGCACCACCACCACGTTTAAATACAGTAAAACTGATAACACTTCCCAGTAAAGCACTGAGTTATAAACAATCCCTCTTACACATAAATAACAGAGACATTATACAAAGCAGACAGGAACATGGACGGATGTACACAAAATAAACAAATTCAAACTTACCCCACTCCAGATACTCAAGGATGTTCTTCTCTCTTCTCAGAGGGGAATTATTACATTCATCATAAAGGCAGATGAGTATATCCAGCAAGGTTTCCACACTGAAGCATTGCCCATTAGTCTGTGTTGGCCCATCCAAAATAAACTGCTCCAACTGCTTCAAACGCACTTCTCCAGACATGGTTGTTTCAGTTTGCATTGGGGTTTCTTTTTTAATGATTATTATTACTTTGCCAGAAAAACAACAACAAAAAAAAACTTTTGAGGGTTTAGTTGCTTAAAAAGAAGTCAACAGTATTTTTAACAAGCGTCAAACCGTGGCAGTGCTTAATTTCCAGCCCACCTCGGTGTTCCCAGCCTGAAACTAAACCCTTGGAGTTTCAGACACACACATATAGTGTGTATATCTGCGTACGTATGGTTTTTAAGCGAAGAAAATAGTTATACTTAAAAAAAATGTAATAGGCTTAATAAGAAGGGGGGAGGGGGGGAATTTATGGCCACTCCTGGTGCTTTAATAATAATAATTGCACTCAAATTCAGCCGAGACTGACTGACACCGATTTCACCGTGCGTGTCCAGGCACACGCACTTATATATTTAAGAAGGTCTTCTCCTTCATTCCTGATGCAGATCATGCAGCGCGATCCTGCGAGGAGCCCCGCCGCAGCACCACGGGGTAACAGCCCCTCCGGATCCGCTTCCCAGGACGGATGGGAAGGGAAAAACAGACGTATTTACGTGTTTATATAAGCGAAAGGACGAAGAAACGAGAGCGCACACCGGCGGGGAAGGAGGGATGAGGGGGCCGCGCAGCCCCGCCGACCCCGCCGCCTCCCCCGGCCCCGGCAGCGCCTCCGCGGCCACGACGGGGTGGGGCGCAGCCCCCCCTCCTCAGGGCGCAGCCACGTCCTGCCCCGGGCAGCCTTTCCCTTCCTCCTCCTCCTCCTTACCGAGTCTCCTTTTAAGGCTTTTCAGTGATTCAAAAAAACTAAAGTCTTCATCGTCGCCCCCTTCTCCTCCGCTGCGCCAAGGGGCGGCGGGCGGAACGCGCGCCCCGACACACCGGCAAAAGCGCTCCGAGCCCTGTCAAATCCTTCCCATGGCTGCGGCGGCGGCTGCTGCTGCTGCTGCTGCGGAGACGGCGCCCTCCTTCTCCTCCTCCTCCTCCGGGTGCGCGTCCTGGGGCGGAGGGAAGCGCCGGCGTCCCCGCTCCGGCCGCACGCTGCGGGCCGGGAGGCCCCGACGACAGCTGCGGCGGCGGTGGCTTCACTCCCGGCGGCACGATGCCGTCCCGGCTTCGCCCCCCCGGGCAAAGGGCATCCTCGGGCGGTGCGTGTGCGGGATGTGTGTGTGTGTGTGCGTGCGCGGGGCGGCGGGGAGGGGTAGCAGCGGCGCCCTCCCTCCCCGGCTCGCTCCCTCCCTCCCTCCCTCCGCTTCCGCGCCCTCCTCTCCCCCGCCGCTCCCTCCTTCCTTCCCTCCCTCCCTCCTTCCCTCCCGCGGTCACACGCGGCAGCCGCCGCCGCCGCCGCCGAGCGCGCAGCAGCCCAACATGGCGGCCGCGGCGGGGGGAGCCGCCGCCGAGCGCCGCCGCAGCGCGGGGAGCCGAACCCGGGGCCGCCGCTACTGATGGGATTGAGGGGAGGAGGGGATGCTGCTGCAGCAGGGAATGCAGGGATACGGGCGGACCCAGGGAGACGGGAGGGAGAGAGGGCGGGAGTGGGGAGGCCGCGGGCCGACTGCGGTGGGCTACGCTGGGCGGACCCACCCGACTGTCCGGGGAGACCTCTCCAGGGGTCTCCCCCGAGCCGAGGGGGCAGCCGCCGCCGTTCCCCGTCCCGGTTCCTCTCAGCCGCTTCCCCGGCAATTAGGCCTTTGATTAAAAATCCCACCAGCCTCGTTAGGCCGGCGGGCAGCGGGAGCGGCGCCTGCCTGCTGTTCCAAGGGAGTCTGTCATCCGTGTCCGAGGGTATTTGCCGAGCTCCAGGGCGAGCACAGACCCCGGCAGCCTCCCCTTCGAGGGCTAAAAATGTGACAGAAAATGAGTCTGCTCGTGGCGGTTCTGTCCTCACTTGAGAAGTGCCTCCCCTCCCCGAGGAGCCCGCTGTGCCACCTCAGCACGGGCCTGGGAAACAGGCTCGTTTTGCAAGTCTTTCAAACCCACATCATTTCAGAGAGCTGAAGGATTTTCTTGTGTACCAACGTATTTTATTTTAAAGCAGTACAGACTCAGCGGCAGCAGCAAATCAGAAGATTGTGCATTGATCTTCTTCCAGGCATCAGGGAATGGGCCCAACTCTGGGGTGGAAAATGGCAGCAGCCAAGCAGCGTGTGGTGGCCACTCTTTTTCTTTGCCAAAGGTACAAGGGATGCACTGTGGAGCTCAGGCTACCACAGGGCACTGAATGTCATCTGTAAGTCAACCCGTAACTTCAGTGCATCCTTCCTCAGCAGTCAGGGAGAGGAGAGAACACAGTACAGCCCCCGAATGTCACTGGCCATTGGTGGAGTTCAGTGTTCTCCAGAAGCCCACCAGGTCCTGCATCTGCTGGAGCTCCAGAGAAGGAAATGGCTCAGGCGTCCGCTTCCTCAGTTCATTAACCAACAGAAGACCCTCCTCTGGGTTTTGGCATAACAGGCATCCATATAACACTTTTTTCTTTTTAATCTGGCTTTTTTACCAGCTGATACAAAACATCAACAGTCTTACATTTCATCATGAAGATGAAATACACAACACTATTAAATTAGAGTCCCATATGTTTGCTCAGATTCACTCAGCTGTATATAAACTCACTGGTGTGAAGCTAGAGAGGACAGTGACTCCCACCTTGTGTGTGTGAAATGGCAGAGCAGACTGGTTGTATGGTGGGAAAAGTCACCTTTCTATCGGTGAGCCTGAGAAGGGGATCCACCAACAACAGCCTTTCAAAGGAAAAAACGCTCCTGCCTGCTCTGGGTGAATGAAAAGATGTGCAGAGAATTTAGTTCTAAGAGCTTTTTACGCAAAAACCCTTCCAGAAATATTAGAAACTACTGCAAGTGTAAGTTTGTGATGGGTAGAAGATTAAACTGAGAGGACAGAGACAAGGAAAGGGTTTCCTTCCTGTGCTGGGATACACCCTTGGTATGACAGGAGCCCCATGCGAGTACCTGGGGTGCTGCTGGTCCTTGTCTACTAAAGTCATCGCAGTGCCTCTGTGGTAGGAGCCCTCTCCAAAGCTGTGGCACACAGGCAGTTTTACCCAGAGAGTAAGGCATTTCCTACTTGTTTTCCACTGCACTTGTGGAAATTGTGATTGAAGCTGGGGATGGGGGACACTGATGACAGCAATAAAAATAAGTTGCTGTTGCCAGTGTGGGTGGATCAGATCAGATCACACTTCCTATAGGGGTTGGAGACATATCATCCAAGTTCATCATCACCATAGATTAACCATTAATAGGGTTGGAGAGGGAAAAGGGAGAAGACTAAGAGTTAAAGGGATGTTAGCCTCTTGGACTTTGGTCCACATCACGTGGTAGGGAAGTGAACTCAAGAACCATTGCCAGAGATTTGATGGGTGTGGATATTTCACTTACTTATGTTACTGTGTTTTCCTCACCAATTATACAGTCTTTCCTTGTTTTACTTGTAGATCAAGTGTTTGGAAACAAGCAAGGATACCCAGCAAAGGTGCTCACTTTCCCTATATTTCTGGTTTTAAAGATGAACCCTTGTTTCTGGCAGCACGACTTGACAGAAGTTGCACATCAAGTCAGTTCTTTCCAGAGTTGCTTTCAGCTTGAGTGAGGCTACAAGAGGTAGATGACATGTTCCTATTAAAACCATGTGATGTAAGCTGCAGTTAAACCCAGAAAACAGGAATTATTTGTTCTCCTCGTTTAAAAGCCTGTCCAGAAATATATAGGCATCCCCACAACAACTGGTGATACGCCCACTGGGCTGCAGTCAGCTGTTGTGCCACAGAAGCTGTGAGGAACAGGTAACACCAACTATGACTGGAGGCATTTTTATTTGCTGGGAATTATCTATGTACCAGACAAGTAATTCTCACAGTACACCCATGGGATGGAAAAATATTTTTTCTGCATTATAAGAAACACTGCAAGAGAGACTTTAGTCTGGAATATTTAGAAAACTGACAGAAGAATTCAGTGCAACACTCAGAAATTCCTTCTCTCTTGTATGTTGTCACTAAGACAGACCGCGTCCTAAAAATACACCCAAATTGTGCAAGCATACCCCAGTATCTTTCATAATTATCATGGGTTTGTTTCACCCTGTTCTTGTTTTAATAATATCACAATAATATTTTGCTCTTACTGCTTAGCTTTACAAATGTTTACAGTACCTGAAACATAACTAATGATAATAAGGATTTTATATCTTACAATAAATTAAGCAAACTGATAGCAACAGAGGGAATAGTGGGGAATGAGAAGGATATGGTTGAAACAATGTAGTTTATGTATTAACATGTATGTTGAGTGTTGCAGTACTTAACCTTGGTGTAATAAACAGCCTTTTCTCTCCAGGGACAGGAGGTTTGTTGTTTGAGGTGAAATATTGTGGATATCTGTTTTTGATATGCAAACCATTTCTGAAGTTGATAGTGACCTCACATGCTTCTGGCAGGTGAATAATGCTTGTGAGTGGTAGATCTGTTACATGCTTAGGGACAAATGCTCAAGACTGGCACTTTTGTATTGACAAAATTTTGCATCCAGGCTTTTCTGTTCTCCAAAACTTCACTTTGTAGACACATGTTGTTTGTACTGGTACAGCGGTTCATCTCCCAGGGAAAATTTGGTAGTGCTCTATGCAAAAACAGTGCTAGCACCCAATTTAGCAGAACATGTGTTTAGACGTGTGATGATGCTGTTTGAAAAGGGATCCTACAGCTGTCACCTGAATTATAGTAATAACTGAGGTTATTAGAAATGTTTGCAGTTGGCTGCAGACAGAGCACACATTGGTTGCAGTCTAGGATGACACTGAAGATCAGTGTGAGAATCGAGCAACACTTGTCCTATAATCTGTTACACTGTAGCTTCACATAAATCTTGCTGCTGGGACAAACTTAATTCTAGCAAACAGGTCTCTTTGCTGAAACTGCTGACTATTGCAGAACTTGATTAGTCTCAGTACCTACAGTAATGCATTTAGTAACACACTTTAACATTTTTAAAGACTTGTAAACCTACTATTCTTTTCCTCTCTAACTGCTTTGCCAAGATCTATTTCTCCTGTGAGATCTGCAGACAACCCCAACTAGAAGCACTGAATGTTACCTGGCAAAATTGATGCTTATTATTTATCTAATCGCAAAACAATGATCATAAATGTGAATGCATATATAGACCGTTGTAAATATGGAATTATCTTTCTCTTCCCTCATGCTTCTTTTATTGGTCTTTGGAGTCTTATTTATAGTCTTAATGATTTTCTGTGAATGGCTGAGCTGACTAATTTTACCTCAGAGACAAATTGCATCATGCTGATCTCACTACACTGGTTCTGTGTCAGCCTCACTTCCCTGGTTTTAGTCTTCATTTAAAACTAATGAGAATGTGGCCACCACCAGCACAGAATTTTCTGTGAAGAATGAAGTGGTTTTGACCCTGCTGAAGTGTCTAGGGGTGCTGCGCTCTGAACAGAAACTAGATAGCCTCTGTGATTAAAGAAGAGGAGAGGAAGTAATGGAATTACATTTATAACTGCATGAAATTGCTATAATCTGAATCCTACTTTTATGATGCAAACTAGGAACTGACCAAAGTCACGTCTCATGCTGACCTCCAAACAGGACTCCGTGTTTGCACTCTTACAATGCTATTTTATCTCTCAGTACATCGTTTTCTTCCTATAAAAGTGGGACCAAGTCTGCCAAAGCTCTTAGGGATGCTGTAAACCTTAATTAATGTCAGTGTAGGAGTCTGAAATTCTTCTTTATTTTCCTTTCTTCAGTAACATAAATCTATGAGTGTTGTTTTATTTTCTCTCTTGTTTTTGTAGTCTATAATGTCTGCAACTTTTCAAGCCTTTAGTCCCTGCATAGTCCATTTTTTTCTTGTGGATTTCTCTGTCTATGCTGATATTTTCTTCCACTGTGTCCCAAATCTGTTGACCATGTTATGCCACCTTTGAAAGTTGAACTCTCCTCAAGATACTTCACTCCCTCAAATTAAGCTATTTAAGGAGGTAGAACTTTTCCTCAGGTCAAGTGGCTTTTCAAACAGAAAATTTCTGAGGAAGACCACGTATTTATTTGTGAAACTGGATGATAGATGCAAATTTCTGCCACTGCCACACAAGGCACAGCAAGATAATCCATTGATTCAAAAGAAAAGTGGATACATTTACATTATTTGACTGATGCCTATACAATGCTAGTGTTGCTCAT